AGGTCTTTTTTTTTACAACCCTATTTAAAACTGTAACCACTCCAATACTCCCTTTCTCTTTCTCTGCTTTCTTCATCTCCATGGCCTCTCTTAATGTTATATAATGTATTCATTTATTTTACTATTTGCCTGTTTTCTCCCACTAAAAGATAAATTTCATTAGGGCAAAATTCTTTTTCTCAGTTTTTTGCCCTTCTTTATCTCCTGTGTCTAGAACAAATCCTGTCACATAGTAGATGCTTGATAATTTTTGTTGAATGAATGAACAAATGGCTTTTTAGTCTACAAATGATAATGGAAACTCATCAATCTATAATTAAGGACTTATAGCTGACCTGTCTTACAAATTAATTCTTGCAAATTAACCTTCTACTTATGCCAGAAAGCACTAGATCTGTAAATCATTTTTCTGTTTCCTAGTCACTGTTCATATGTGCCCATATCTCTCCATGCTTATGTAATTGATTTCCTTACTTCAGCGCCTACTTGAAACCTACCTTTTTAGTAGATGGTAAAAAGAACAATTTTTTCATGTATGTTTATTTTAAAATATAGAAAAATATGAAGATACAACCGAAGATATTCATAATACTACCATCTTGCTCATATTTATTAACCTTGGATTATATGTATGTGTATATATTTACTTATAAAAATTACGTTAGTATCTGGTTATATATTTTTGTAATTTGCACTTCTGAATTAACACTGTTCATATCCTTCTTGATACCTGTCCTCTGAAATCCTCTTTTGTATATTGTCTTCACCATATTTTTGTATGAACATATTTGTAAATATATTCCAAATTTTGTTTTCTTAAATGGATTGCAGACTATTACTGTATTGTAAATAATTATAAAATGTACTCAATCTAATTTCAAACTAAAAAAGATATAAATATTAATCTTTAATCATAAAATTAAAATCATATACTTTTTAAAAATTTATTTATCATAGGGACGAGGTCTTACCAAGTTACCTGGGCTGGTCTTGAACCTGTAGGCTCAGGCAATCCACTCACCTCAGCCTCCCAAAGTGCTGGGATTACAGGCTGAGCCATCGATCCCAGCCCATACACATTTTTAACTCAATAATATGTGTTCCTTATAACCATTAAATATTTTTGTTTTATCTTTTTAAGTGCTTTCAACACTAAATGATTCTTATAACTTTCTAAAGTTATTAAGATGTTTTGAAATATGTACTAAAATCTTCCACAAATTTATAGTAAGCTTTGATTGTGCATTTCTTTTGTAATAAATGTAAAGTTAATTTTACACATTTTTATTAAAATGGAATCCTATTCACCCTTTTTTTCATTTTACAACATATACAGGTGTTTTGTCTGAGCTTAATGGGCAAAACTCGGGAAGAACTAAAACCACTTACTTCCATCAAATTTCTTCGAGCACTCAGAGTTCTATCTCAGTTTGAAAAAATGAAGGTAAGAGAAAAGTTTCAAAACTAATCTATAGGTTTTTATTTGGAATTAATACATTTGCACAAATTAACAGTCTTTGTTGTCCTCTCATTTGCACCTTTAACAATATTAATACCAAAAAACCTTAAAATTTGCTGCTTAAAATTACAGAAAAATAGGTATGTTAGTTATGCTTATTAATATTTTAGTTCCTTATTGTTCATTAGGGACAAACTAAGAAAGATAAGCAAAATAAATGAACAGTTGAGAGACAAAATATTGTTTCAAAAGCATCTTCCAACCCACATATATATCAATATTAATGAAATTACATCCATTAAAAGTATGTGTCAGAAAATGAAGGTTTGTTAACAAACTTTTTAAAATTGTAAGATCACTAGTTACTGAGTAAAAGAAAAGTTTGAATTTTAAAATAAATTTACTTATTTAAAGTCACACATCACAAACTGTGAATTCTTACCTATTTTCTTTTTCTCAGTTCCATGTTAAAGCCTCTTCTGAACTATGTAAAGAAAATGATAGATTGAATAATATAAAATGACCAATGGCCAGTTTTTGTGCCTCTGGCTAACCTATAGAAAGAAATGAAGTTTATGACCACCACAAGTAGTATAAGTATATACATATACAGTGTTCAATTGTATGAAGTGGTAGAAAAGGTTCAAATGTACCTTTTATTTCATAATCATATATTTGTGACTTTTGCATTTTTATGATATAGATTTTGCATTAGCCTGTCTATATAATTAATACTAGCTAATATCATATATTCAATGCTATTGTAGGATCTAATATGAAAGTTATTTTAGCTTTATTGTCCCTATACTTTTTGCATTATATGTTTCATTTAAACTGCCATTGATTAAGAAGCCACAATATAAATTCTTTCCACTTAGTAACAAAAAATGGATATTTATTTTTCTTTCAAAATTTGAATGCTTATTATAAATACAAATAGAAAATAAGTAATTTAAAATATGTATTTTATTTTTTAAAATTATTTCAGAATTTTAATAGAACCACCTTTGTATTATATACGTGTGTATTTATATGCATGTATAAGTACTTAAGTACATTGATTACATCCTAATGTGTAAGCTAAGTGCACCATTGATGTTTTTATAATTTATATAAATTTGTTGATTATTTATAATAGTATTTAGACCTGTTCAATCTATTCCCCAAATACATTTTACTGGTGTTGAGAAATTAATATTTTTTCTATGTGGCAAAATATTTGGAATTGCTGGAACTGTGGCAAAATATTTTGAATTTTCTTTAAAATTCCAAATACAGCAAAATTCCAATTATTGCATACCTCAAAAACAATTCTCAAATAGTATTTCTAATTTATATGATAACTTATGAAACAGATTTTAGTAATCACATCGCAGAGGTCCACATAGGTGGAAAATAAGCTGAAAAGGAGAAAGTGGTTGAAGAGGTTTGTAAAATTCAGGTTAAAATAACAAACCAGCCAGTTTAGTGATAGGATAACTTTATAGAATATTCTAGACTAGAAACTACAGATGGTCTATTGAATCAAAACACATAAACAAATACACATGCACACACACACGCACACATGATCAAGTTACTGTTAAATCAATAAATTCTACTTTATTGTAAAAAACATTTCGGGATTATATCTTCTTTTCTAATAAAGTTAGGTATCTAGGTACAAAATAATGCCAAAATCAGCAAGTTATCTGCCCCCAATTTAGAGAAAAGCAGGACAAAATCTGTCAGGAAAAATGAATCTGTCAGAAATTAGACACTGTACCATTTTATGCTATACATTCCTTAAAATGACAATGAAATAGTGGCCATTGACAATTCAAAGTCAGAAAATAGTAGTCATGGTCAGGTCAAGGCTAGGTTTGGATCTGAAGTCTCATCCCAACCTCTGAAATTTCTGTATTTAAATTATCCCTGAAGATATATCATTGACTAGTATGAAGCTACAAAATTAATGTTTACTGTATGAAATAAATTTACAGTCTTAGGAGCTCTTTCCAGGCCAAATATGTGTGTCAACCATATCCACTGTTTTTACTTTTATATATATATTTTTACTCTCGTATATATGTAAACACGACTTTTTTTTTTTTAGCAGAAGCATCAGTGGACCTTTCAAAATATTGGAAGTACTAGTAAAGCATCTGTGACCTAGTTTTAGAAATAAAATGCTATTCGTTCACTGCTTGAGTGATGGGTTCAATAGAAGCCCAAACCTTACCATCAAGCAGTATTCCATGTAACAAATCGTCACATGACCTCCCAGATTAAAACATAAAATAAAATAAACCAACTATACAAGCTCATCAAAGTTATAAGGTTTGAATTAAAATTAAATGAGATGATACATGCAAGTTGCTTGAGACTGATCCTAAATGTATCATTTATTATGGTAAAAAAATAAATAAATACAATGTTATTGAAAACACAGTTAAAAGTCTGACTGTTAATTCAAGGACACACAACAATGCAATATAAGCAAGAAAGCACAGGAAAAAGAATAAGTATCTAGTAATTACTGAAGGAATAAAATGCTAGAATGGGAGAAAACAGAATCAATGGTGCCCCAGGAAAACAAATTGAATAAGTAAATGAAAGTATAAATGCTAACAGAAAAATAAAGACAAATAGTGGAAATATTGAAAATATTCTGTTGGATAGCAACCAGTTTACATTTGTCATCACGACTTCAGTGGAGTGATAAGAATATAATTCTGATTTTAATATAAAAAGACAAAGAGTCGAGGAAATAAAGACACTGATTATAGACTATTGCTGGTATTCAAGTTTAGGTAGTGGTTTCGTCTCTCAAACTTCCTACTCTAGAGTGACTCACCAGTGGCACCACATGGTTCAGTGAGATTTGGGGCTTTGTGAAGTACAGCAACTCATTCTGTGCTTCCAAAACAGCCCCTTCCCTTGACTTTATTGATAATACAATCTCTTGGCCTTCTCTGGATTCTCCCGCCACCCATTCACTGTCTCCTTTGCTGTCTCCTCCCTGGGATCAGAACCCTCAAGACAGTTCCAGGCCCATTCTCTCTTGCTTATATGCCTTCTAGATAATCTCAGACATACACACAGGTTCAATTATTTTGGCCATTTCTAGCACAATGTAAGAAGTCAATAAACGTGCAAATCAGTGAAATAATTATTTATTCTAGTATTTGTACTAAATCAGCTTTGTTGTCTTTTTATGCTTTTTTAGTGCAAAGTTTTTGACAATATTTTTAATGTACACCTTTTCAATCAAAATTGAATTGCTATTTAGGTTACTTCAATATCATCAAGTGGCTTACCAGGTCTTTAGATATGGTCTTTTTTTGTGTATTCAATTATATCGACTAGTTTTTTCAATTTGATCAGAAATTAAAATCATTTCACATTTCTTACTTAAACCTTACATGTTAATTTTTTAAATATGTCAGGTGGTCGTGAGAGCTTTGGTCAAAACAACTTTACCTGCTTTGAATGTATTTCTGGTCTGCCTTATGATCTGGCTGGGTTTTAGTATTTTGGGAGTACACTTATTTGCTGGCACGTTCTATGGATGCATTGACCCAACAAGCAGAGAAATGTTTTATACATCGGAAGTGGTGAATAAGAGTCAATGTGAAAGCCTTGTGGTTAATGAATCTATGCTATGGGAGAATGCAAAACTGAACTTCGATCATGTTGGAAACGGTTTTCTTTCTCTGCTTCAAGTAGTAAGTACACTTTTGACTTTTAAAAATCAGTTAAATGTCTTTTCATAGAGTAGGCTGTGAATGTAAAGGAAAAAATGTGGATAATTAATACATTTAGCTATAAAGTATTTTAGCAATTAGTTAGTAGATAAATGGAATGGTTCGTACAATACTAGGCTCGTTTTGAGAGTCAGAAGTGACATCCTGTTCCTGCCCCATCTCCCAAAAGTGGAGATGAAGGTAAGGTACTGACCAAACCAATGTTCACCATCACTGATAAAGTAGAGAGTCACAATTTTTTGATCCAACTCAGGTTACTACTTTTTTTTTCTGTTTAGCATTTTGAGGAATGGCTTGCTCAGTAACCCAATATCTAGCAGGTATGAAGAGGTGGACAATTCCTCTTATCTCCTTCATAGAGAAGCACATGTATAGCAGCTACACGTAATAATGACACATGGAGCATGTATTTATTTACCATTTATCTATTAATTTCCCCATTTCTCTCTATTTACATTATCTTAAATATTTTATTATTAACTACAAATAAAATTTTTAAAATATTTGTTAAAAGACACAATAATAATGAAAATACTAAAGATCCCAATTATACAGTATATGGAAGTAAGGCAAGCCTATTTCAGATGTTTCCATGTATTAATGACAGATTGATGTTTTTATTTTGTGTTTGCCATGAAGCATAAATCTCCATAAGGATTAAACATGTCATGTTTTTACAGGCAACGTTTAATGGTTGGATCGACATTTTTTATTCAGCAAGTGATTCTGTTGCCGTAAGTAAAATATAATTTTTAATTTTTAAGCCATCGTTAAAGTTCAGCAAGGTCATTTTTGCAATTCAGGCACAGGATACCAGTGATTAATAAAAATTAACTACATTTTATATTGGGTATTTCATGAGCCATGAAATCCTTCTGCATATATTATATACAATGATTGAGGCCCAGTTAACCCATCTGAAAGATTACCAGATGTTACAACAATGATTAAACTAATGAAATAAACTTTAAACTCCAAATAAACAAAGCAATAATATTGTTTTACCAAAGAGCAAAGAGAAAACAGTGCCTCAAGTAGCATTGTTGGATTTTCTTATCATAAATTGTTTTATAAATCTTGTTTTTAAAAGTCAGTATTGCCAGGGAGGGGAGCACACCTCATCAACAAGGATACCTGCATAATGAACATTTTTATACCTAATCCTGAATTGTACCCCACATATTTAAAATAAAAAAAATTAAAAAGGAAAAAAGTCAATATCAATAATTTGCTTATTTTTAAACTTTAGGTCAATATGCAGCCTAGTTTTGAAGTCAACCTCTACATGTGTTTTTACTTTATCAACTTTGTCATATTTGGAGTATTTCTCCCTCTGAGTATGCTGATCAGTGTTATTATTGTGAATTTCAACAAACATAAAACAAAGATAAGTATAGACTTTTTTGTTCAACAATGCCTGAGAAAATAAAGCATATTTATCAAAATACCCTGCTTCAAATAATTGGTTTTGGGTTTAGAGTAATGTCATTTCTATTTTATATGTGCCTAAAAATAATTACTGTTCCTGCACACTGATGAATATTGTTAAAGTGTTTATCCATATATTTTTTCTATATTTAAAATATACACAGACAAGTCTGAAAGTTAAAAATTATGTCTTTGTATATGTGCTTTGAAAATGGTGATGTGCTGAAAAACACAAGTAATAGTGTGTAACTTTACAAATACATGAAGAGTTCAAGGAAAAAAAAAAACTCTGTGATATATTCAAAGCCTTCACGGTCACAACCAGCATGGACATCTTTCTAAGTTAGAGTAGCTCTTTCTACTAGAATTAGAGAGAGTCATAAATCCTGACTGGCTTACATAGGAGTGGCTTACATAGGAGTACTTGAATCCAGTAAGAGAGAATTTACAGATGGAACTGAATACCACTGTTGAGTGCCGTTTCTACACAAAAATCCCCATCAGTGTCTCCTCAAATGCAAAGCCCTCAAAAGACTTCTAAGTCACTTATTTTAGCCACAGGGACCTACTCTCTAAGGTGTAGGAAAGTCTTCCCCAAAAATCAAAGGAAAGAATAGTTTGTTTGACTTTGAAGTTCCGTCTGCAGACATGTTACCAAACTTTAGCCACGTGTAAAATCTGGTAGAATAGAATCTGAGGGGAATACATTCCAAGACCCCTGAGATGCCTGAAACCCCAAGGTAGTACCGAACCCGATTGCCATTTATCGGAACATGTTTCTCTTCATGCTAAGATGCTTTCTCCATCTCAACTAGAAACTTATCTCGCATTGTAGCCATAACTTTTGCAGTTTGAAGTGCAACCGCGAAACTAGCACACATCTTTTTCTTTCTTCACGATTTCAAGGTTGGACGATTCCTTCTTACCATACATAGATCTCAGCAACCTCAGCATAGGATTTTTTTCTTTCCTTATGAAGTCAAACACTTTCACCTTTTCTCTTAAAGGGAGCTCTTTACAGCTTCCCTTTGGCATACCCGAATTGCCAGCAACACTACTTTTGTGTTTGAGGGCCACTATTAAGTCTAGCAAGGGTTTCTTGAATACAAACACTGCAGTAACCTACATGGCTACTAAGTGACTCCTGGGCAAGTAGCGCAGATAGCACGGAGATGCTGTTCAAACGTAGGATTCACACCTGGGTAGGTAAGAGCAGAATGGCGCGAGATTTCATCACGCTACTCACGCAGGTGTAGCATTTAAAACTTATTAATTATTTGCTTTTAGAATTTTCCATGTAATATTTTCGAAGTGCAGTTGACTGTGGGTAACAGAAACTGCAGAAGATATACCTCGGATAAGGGGAACTCCTGTATACCAGTATGAGTCTCCACTGATGGGTTGGGAGTCGAGAGCTCTGTGATCAAATATGGTTCTGATTGGGTGTTCCAGTTTCTCGGGACAGCAACCCAGTGGGATAACATCCCAGGATTTTCTTCTGAGCTTCAAATTGGTGTCCCCTGTCAATTTTAAGTTACCAGGTCTCGATTTAAGGCAGTATCAATTCCTGATTCCTAGATCAACATGACATTTTTCACTTTGCATATTTGATATAAGATACTGAAATAAGCACTAGAAACACAGAAATAAGTCCTCAAAGGTGCTATGATGAAGCCAACACAAGGTATTTTTATATTTGTAGTTAAAAAAAAGTCTGATAGTATTTGAAAAGTAAAACAATATACGCTTATATTAAAAATGAACAATTCTGATTATTCTGGTGTATTAAAAGGTACAAATCAACTTTATCTTTAGCTATCAAATTCAACCTTTCTTAGTAAACCTCTCCAGATATCCCCTGCTACTTCTCCTTTGTCCCTCTCTTTTAAAAGGGTGAGGTTTCAGTCCTTAAAAAGTGAAAATAGGATTGACTACCCACAGGAAAGTACACCAAAAGATTATTGTCTGTTAGTAATTACCAGCATGATTCTATATGTGTTTTATATGGACTTCTATGCAGAAAAACATGTTCATTGTTTAAGCCTTTTTTAAATGATTAAATCAACAATTGTCAAGTTTTTAAATGCATATTAGTCTAAGAGAAAATTTGGATTAAATCTGATTTTAATATCTTTTCTTTCACTTCTTTACCAGGGAGGTTCAAATATCTTTATAACAGTAAAACAGAGGAAACAATACCATGGGCTGAAGAAGCTAATGTATGAGGACTCTCAAAGACCAGTGCCTCGCCCAAGAGTAAGAAAATATCTCGATTTTTTTGAAGCTTTAAAAAAACTTTTCTTTATATATTCTCTCTTAAGAATAAAAGTGTGTTTTTAAGAGGCTTAACTAATGCTTTTGATAAAATGTATAAAATGTTTTCCTTGACAAAGCTATTAATGGTCATTTTTGTGTTTTTTGTGTGTTGACAGTATACTATAATTATAGTTTGGTAAAAATTTAGGCCATTATTTATTTTTCTATTTATTTTGGGAGGAAAGTTATAGAATATAAAGACTATCTGTATGTATCATAGTCTATTAATAGCACTATTACACCTGTTTTCTTTACCTACAGAACAAGTTCCAAGGATTCATTTTTGACTTGGTGACAAATAAAATCTTTAACATCATCGTTATGGTTCTTATCTGTTTCCAAGCAATAACCTTGATGATAGAAAGTGACGAACAGAGTCCACAAATGGACATTGCTCTCTACTGGATTAACTCAATTTTTGTAATGCTCTATACTGTGGAATGTGTACTGAAGCTCATTGCTTTTTGTTGTTTCTATTTCACCATTGCATGGAACATTTTTGATTTTATGGTAGTCATTTTCTCCATTACAGGTAAGATTTTATTTAGTCAAATTTTCATCTGTAATAATATTAATTCAGGCAAGCTCTTAACATTAAATACCTCTTGATATATGGTCTCGTAATAAACAAAATAGGCCAGACCTGGTGGCTCATGCATGTAATCCCAGCACTTTGAAAGGCCAAGGCAAGAGGATTGCTTGAAGTCAAGAGTTTGAGACTAGCTTAGGCAACAAAGTAAGACCTCATGTTTACAAAAAGAGAGAGACAGAGAGAGGGAGAGAGAGAGAGAGAAATTAGCCAGGCATCATGGTGCATACCTGTAATCACATATTCTCAGGAGGCTGAAACAGAAGGATCACTTTAGCCCTGGAATTCAAGGCTACAATAAGCCATGATCATGCCACTGCACTCCAGCTTGGACAATAGAGTAAAATTCTGTCTCAAGGGGGAATAAAAGCAAAATAGGTAGAACTTCTTTATATTCCCAACAAGAATGCCTCACATTTTTGTACTCATACATGTGCACATGCCTGACAGATATGTTATTCAAAAATACTTCTTGAATTAATAGCATAGCCTTTATATCACAATCAGCCAGGTAAATGCTTAATCACCCCTTCAGTCTATAATGTACATTAGTTTTCTAGATGGCACTAGAAGAATCTGTGTGTCTTAGAATGACAAATCTTTCAAGTTCACTATTATTTCCTTCCCTTTAATCTCTAAAACTATTTACAACTTTCACAACACTGGTGTTTTAAGTTTTAATAAATTTGTTGCCAGTTTTCTCCTACTTTGGAGACCTCATTCCTTTATTTCACAAATGTGTTTGATTATATTCTCTTTGTGAATAAATATTGTGCTATATACAAGTTATTTAGTAGAAACAAGATAGGCATAATTCCTCTAATCACATAGCTTATAGCCTATTAAAGGATACAGATTATTAACTTGGATATTTTAATGCTGTCCTGTTAAGGTTATCATAGAAAAAGCACAGGGTGCTGCAGAAGTATAACAGAGGGAGGGCACCTAATCAGTAAGTAGAGGTCAGAGAAAACTTTATGAAAGAAGCAAAGTCTAAATAGAGACCCATTAGGTAAGGAGATAGCTAAGCAAAAGATGTAGGATCAAAGTGCTTCAGGCAGAGAGAGGCTTATTGTCTGCTTCCCTGTAACACACAGATCAGAACGTAAGCTCTATGAAAGGAAAGTAGGAGCAATATTTAAAGGCTTATTGCATCAAGCATAGTCTATGTATTGAGTAGCAGAAAATGTAGATAAACTATGTGCCAGTTGTACTTCCAGAAAATTTATTCGCTCAGATGATAATTGAAGTAATGCAGCTACTATTGAGAGAAAAATACAGGAAACTTGACAGAAAGTACATAAAGACAGGAAGGGACTGATAGAAAGAAAATAGAGGAAATATGGAATTTAAAAGTCCTAGGAAATTAAAGTGGGAGTTAATTAGAAAGCTGGAAGAAAAAGATTAGTCAGAGAGAAAGCTGTTTGAACTTGAGGTTTCAGAAAGCAAGGTATCGTGGGTCCAGAATGTGGTCATAGATGCGGATGTGTAAAGTGACAAATAAGATTATTAAACTTGAGCAGACCAAAGAGAAACTGGCCCTTGAATGGATTGTTGATGCGTAGATGCTAAAATAAAACAAGAGACAATGAGCCAATTACTGAAGATTTCAATGAATATAAATGAGAAATGAATGGATCGTAGAGCCAAAGAATGATAAGAAACCGTGCAGCTGAATGTATGAACCACAAAGTGTCAAAGATTTACTTTTATTTATAAAAAATAATGGAAGGAGAAGTGGCCAGAAATTATGGTGAAAAGGAGGAAAGATAGGTATTTTATCTTTCTACCCTGAGGAAAGTGGAATGGGGAAGAATGGGCTACCTGTACTTGAGAGGGTTGCAAGGGAAATAGTGTCTTCAAGATAGAGTAAGATTTTAGATGAGAAATAAGGTTTAAAGAAAAGTTTCTGGCGAGAATATAGAGAAATTTGTTTTCAATTAAATAGGGATACCTCCTGCATAGTGGAAGAGTTGGGAAGGTGAGGAGAAATGAGAATTTGGATCAGAATAGAAGATGCACTAAAGTTCTATGGAGATAAGAGTATAGATAGGATAGAACATCAGAGAAAATGTCATTTTGTCAGAGGCCAAATATAACAGAAATCTGAGGAATGATCCTTCCAGATCAGCAAACATTCCATCTCATTAAGAAGCCTCATGGGATTCTCCCCTCTAACACCTTTTCAACTCAGAATTAACTACCCTCTTCAGTACTTCCAGTTTTACCTTGTTGTGTAGTTCCTCCCTTATTTACTCACTGCCATGCTTCTCTCATCAAACTACTCCTGCTACAAAAAAGTACTAAGCAAAGACTTATTTATTCAATTCATATTTAAAACTCCCGGGGCCCAAATACAATTTATGAAATAAATAAATTAAATTAAATTACAGCCGGGCTCAATGGCTCAGCCTGTAATCCCAGCTCTTTGGGAGGTCAAGGAGAGTGGATTGCCTGAGCTGCGGGTTCGAGACCAGCCAGGTCAACTTGGCGAGACCTCATCTCTGCAATAAATCAAAAATTAGCTGGGCATGGTAGTGTGCACCTGTAGTTCCCCTTGCTTGGAAGGCTGAGGTGGAAAGATCGCTGGAGCCCAGCAGGTCTCACTGGGGTGACCGTAAGCATGCATGCCACTGCGCTCAATCCTGGGCGACGGAGTGAGACTCTGACTCAAAAAAAAAAAAAAAATTAAATTAAATTACAATATATGAATCTCCGAATCCCAAGCATACTTGTAATCATATTTATCAGTTAGATCTTTCTGTCTTATCATTATTCCGTCACTAGCTTCTAAATTATAAGGTCTGTAAGGACAGAAATCCTATTATTCCATCCTTGCATACTGATGTGATATTTTTATTAGACATTCAACAAGGGTTGCATTGAACAAAATTTCCTCATCCAATAGTAAGCAAAGAAAAATATAACTGTTGTCCCACATTATAGAATCAGGTCATCTGTAATTCCTTAAGTTCTTGATCTATAATACTCTTAAGATGATGGTACAGAAAACTTCTCTTCCAAATTTTGCCAGGTACCTTGAGTATTGTTACATTTAGTATTTGCCTAACCCACACTTTCAATGTGCCAAATGTTAAATGGAAGGTATTAATAAAATGTAGGAAAAATAATTAAGTATAAAATAATTCATAGTCCTCTAAATGCAATAGTATTTGAATAATTTTATTCTCTGCTTTATCTTTTCTCCAACCCAAGGACTAATTCTGCCTATGACGATCGGATATTACCTTATGCCTCCTTCACTTGTGCAACTGATACTTCTTTCGCGGGTCATCCACTTCCTGCGCCTTGGAAAAGGACCAAAGGTGTTCCGTAATCTAATGCTTCCTTTGATGCTGTCCCTCCCAGCACTGTTGAACATCAGTCTCCTCCTCTTCCTGATCATGTTTGTCTATGCCATCTTTGGAATGTACAACTTTGCCTATGTTAAAAAGGAAGCTGGGATTAATGACGTGTCCAACTTTGAAACCTTTGGCAGCAGTATGCTCTGTATTTTTCAAGTTACAATATTTGCTGGTTGGGATGGGATGCTTTATGCAATTTTCAACAGTAAATGGTCTGACTGTGATCCCGATAAAATTAACCCTGGGACTCAAGTTAGAGGAGATTGTGGTAACCCCTCTGTTGGGATTTTTTATTTTGTCAGTTACATCCTCATATCATGGCTGATCATTGTAAATATGTATATTGTTCTTGTCATGGAGTTTGTGAGCATTATTTCTAAGAAAAAAGCCAAGAGTTTGAGTGAATATGATTTTAGGAAATTCTTTCAGGTGTGGAAAAGGTTTGACCCTGATAGGACCCAGTACATAGACTCTAGCCAGCTTTCAGATTTCGCAGCTGCTCTTGATCCTCCACTTTTTATGGCAAAACCAAACAAGGGCCAGCTCATTGCTTTGGATCTTCCCATGGCTGTTGGGGACAGAATTCATTGCCTTGACATCTTACTTGCTTTTACAAAGAGAGTTATGGGTAAAGATGTAAGGGTGGAGAAAATCATTTCAGAGGTAGAATCAGGGTTTATGTTAGCCAATCCTTTTAAGATCACATATGAGCCAATTGCAACTACTCTGAAAAGAAAACAAGAGGCAGTTTCAGCAACCATCATTCAGCGTGCTTATAAAAATTATCGTTTGAGGCAAAATGATAAAAATACATCAGATATTCAGATGATAGATGGAGAAGTTCAAGCTACTAACCAAGGTGTTTATTTTGACAAAGCTAAAGAAAAGTCAACTATTCAAAGTTAAATCTAATCCCACTTTACGCCTCTTCACCGTCACACAACTCAAAAATAAAAACTTAAATCAGAAATAAAAACAAAGATCAGAGAAAGTAGAGATGATAATTACTTCCTTACAACCCTTGAAAGTTAAGCTTGTATTAACAAGACTCCATGCCAAATTCACTTTTAACAGTATGTGCTCAGTCTAACCAATCAGGAAAGGCAACCCCTTAATACTGCTGCAGTAAGTTAAAGTGGGTTAAAGTCACCATTTAAAGATCTTATGTTTTATGGCTTATATGATATGTGCCTCTTCAAGAGTATGGGGGAGGTGGTGATAGATATTAGAAACAAAGGATGCTTTCTTGTATAAATCATGTCTTATTTAATAGACTTCAAGTCACCACAATTAAAACTTATTTATAAATATTTTCTTTGTGTGGGATAGTGGAAATGTTATAGGCCATTAAATCATAAACTTGGGTAGACAAAAGCCAGTTGGGAAGAGAGAGCAGTTCTTTAGAAAATGCCTTTAAGATCAATCACAGAGGCTGCTGGGCCAATAAAAACCACATTTGAAAAAGACTGGGTCAGGTGCAGTGGCTCACTCTTGAAATCTCAGCACTTTTGGAGGCCAAGGCAAGAGGATCACTTGAGGCTGGGAGTTTGAAGATGGCCTGGGCAATATAGTCTTAGGGGTCCAGCCCCTTTTGCCAGGTCGTGAGATCTCCTGAAGGAGAGACGGATAGGCGAAAGATGAAAACATTATTCCTGGACACCTGTTTCCTGAGCAGATGACATCCTTTATTAGTTAACAGAAAGCTTTTATAGCATTTGTAAAAGGGGCAAGACAAAGAAAATTCCTTCATGTATATATGTTTTAAAAGTTACCACCATCTAGTGGTCTTTAGAAGAAACGAATAAGCCAAAAACACCATCTACTTTCAGTTAATGAGTCTTGAGATAAGTGTAAAAGGAGTTTCACTTAAACTAAACATAATGTATACAAGGTTTACTTTGATTTTGGTTCCACATCACTAGTCTAATTAAAAAGGCCATAAATTCACTAAAACAAACTATAGACTGTATCTAGTGATAGCAGGAATATGAAGCCCATTAACTTGACCAAACAACAGTGGCTAGCTTTTAAAGAATAACTATGAAAGTCACTTACTGTGAAAATACATACACTAATCATTACTTTGGATAAACATATAAAGTGAATGAAACATAATGAAATAAAACGAACACAACTAAAATTATTATGGTTGCATAATTGCCAATGAGCTTTTAAGTTTAGGATAATAGTGATTTGGCCGTTTTCCCTCATGCTTGGCAACCTCCTGGAAAACATCTGTCTTAAGATAGGCAGTGGAGCAATTATTATTATCTTTGAGGCACCAGCTTTATCATTGTGTGAACTTAAATTATGAACTTAAAACAATCTTCAAAGTAGCTATAAAACACTAAACTATAACACTAAGACTAATTAATGACACAAAGTAAAAACCTTGTTAAACATAACCAGAGCCTAATAATTTTTGTCAACCCTCATACATATGTATATTGATTATATAAACCTGTATGATATTACATTTATCAATTATGAGTAATACATGGATAAAACAATTATCATGTCTAGAATAGCATTGCCAGCAACTCTCTTCAAAAGAGTCCCAAATTACAGTCCTTGAAGTGCTTCAAGAAAGTTCCCAGGTGCACGGGTTCTTCATGTAGCAGTTCTTC